GCCGCCCTCCGGGCTGGGTGGCCGCGGCCGGGACCTCGGTTTCCCCATCTGTCAGAGAAAGGGGCCTGGCTGCTTCCATCTAAACCGCCGACTCTGTCATGGCGCGACCTGGACGCGTGCCAGAGACATGCTCGGTAACCTTGGCTCAGTGGCCGCTCTGTCTCGGAGGCACGGCTTCCTCTTCCGTGGAACGGCGGTGGGGACGCCGCCGACCTCACAGGAGCCATTCCTGCGACAGACATTTACTGAGCGCCTACTGTGTGGCTGGCCGCGCTCCAGGGCGGGAGGGCAGGCGCGGGCTGGGGGTACCGAGGAGGTGACCGAGGTAGACAGAGACGGATAGCCAGATCCCGGGCAGGTCGGAGGGTGTGAACAGCCAGGGAGAAAAACAGAGGTGGTGGGGAGGGGTTGGGGGAGGCCCAGGAAGGCGCAATTTTAAGCGGGGGAGGGTGTCAGGATTTGAAGAAGGTGGGAGAGGGAGCTGGTAGGGTGGGAGTGCGGGGAGGGGGCTTAGTGAAAGGAGGCAGGAACAGCCAGTGCAAAGGCCCTGGGGCAGTGGCATGCCTGGCACCGCAGACCACAAATGAGGGCAGGAGCTAGCACAGATGCCCTGCTTCCAGAAGGGCCGAGCTTGGGTTCATCTGCTGCTGCTGTGCTTACCGAATTTTGAACAAGCCTGCCGGTTTTGTTTTGCAATGGGGCCTGCTGGTAACAGGGGACGGGCAGATTGTGCACTGGCCTGTGGGCTCTGGGGATGGCCTTAGCTTTTACCCCCAGGGAGGTGGGAGCCCTGGAGGGCTGTGGAGAGAGGAGGGGCAGGTCTGACCCGGATTTTGATAGGATCCCTCTCACCCACTCCACACGCAGTCAAGTCTGGACTTGGCGTGCAGGTTAACCGCGCAAGCCTTAAAGACGCAGCCTCTCAAATATCATCGCCATCAATTCTGTAGCTCGCCTCCCGGCCCCAGGCACCTTGCCGATCAGACCTCAAGACACTGTGCCTGCATCGGACATTTATTCAGCACCGACGGTGTGCTTGGCCCTGCTCCAGGACGGGGTATGAAGTACCTTCCCAGTTCCTGTTCCTTGGCAATTGAGGGGCCTGGACGAGGGAATGAGATGAATAAACAAAATACCTCCGCTCTGCCCATTAAAAAAATCAGTGATCAAAATTTACATATTTTAGAAAATTCTTCAGTATTCAGAGGGGTTTCTGTAATACAGAGACCCCACAAATCATGTGGAAGCCCCAATCAGGACAGGCTACAGAATTTTGGGGCCAGGCCATGATGAAATTATTAGGAATTTCATGATGGTGACAGCAGACAAGTGCAGGGTCTTTGACCTGCTCTGTGAAGCCAACCTGGCCCAAGCCTTGCTGATCCCTCACCCCCTCCGTGGGGGCCAGATGCCCTTTTTCCCCAGAGGCCACATGTATAGCCCTTCTCTAGTCAGGCACCTCCCAGGATGAGACTCCCAGACTAGCAGAGGGCGAGCAGAATTGGATACAGATGGCCCAACACAGTAAAATCAAGGCTGGAGCACAGAGCTTTGCATCTGAAAGAGAATCATCATGAAAAAGTTATTTTCAGAAAGAAGGGCCTTTGCAGCATGGAGAGAAGCCCCAAAGTGTGACCCAAACTCTGAAAATAATTAGTAAACCTACCAACTGGCAGTATATGTTTTAACTTTGCTCCAGGCTCTGCCTTAACGCATGTTAATCTAGGTCCTGCCTTTTAGGTCCCTTTCAAAGGCGGGGAAAATAAAGCCCAGGCAGGTTAAGCCATTTGGTCAAAGTCACACAGCTGGTAGTGGCAGTGTCCAGAAGCAAACCCAGGTACTTGGCCTTCAAAGCCTAGGGAACAGGACCCTCTACTCAGGCACAAAGTGGCGATGGAGCGATCAAGGAGCAGACGATGCGGGAGCCTAAATTCTGGACTGGGGAGGCCAGGTTGTGCTGGGGTGGGCCAGTGCTGGGTGTTGGGCGGCATCCTGGCCTCCACCCACGGCCCCTCCTCACCAGTCTTGACAAGCATTGTTCTGCAGAGTTGTTGTTGTGTGTGTGTGTGTGTGTGTGTGTGTGTGTGTGAACAGCACAGAGTCACACCAGCTGAGACACCTGGCTTAGAGCAAGCACTCCAGGGCCCCTTGTAGAAGGTTCCCGAGGTAGTCAGGTTGGAGGGAGGTGAGGTGAGAGGCCAGTAGAGCAGGTGCGCTGCCCACACTAAGCTTCAGGAGAGGCCAGGCTGGGCAGAGCAAGACCCTCCTTGCCTGGTAATTATTTGAGGGGAGTTGTGTCTTTTGAAGATCTTGCTTTCTGGATGGTTGCGATCCTATACCAAATCTGGGGGGCTACTCTGCTCCTTCCTCTTCTGGGGTTCTCAGGCCCCATTTGGGGCCAGGGTGGGGCTGGGATCTGTCTCCTGTACCCGGGAGTCTGAAAGCAGCCTCGCAGTCTGCTTACAAATGAGCGCTGGGCCACGCAGCCTCCAGGGCAGAGCCAGGCGGCTGGCAGTGATGGATGGGGCTCCGTGGCCATTCATCAGAGGCCGGGGAGGAAACAGGTGGCTGTCACTGGGCACAGGGGCCTCCTGACCGGCCTCGGGGAGCTGAAGTCTCAGCTTTCTGGCTCTGGGCTCAACTGGAGCCCCGAGGCTACTACAGCCTAGCTGGTAGATTTGGGGCACAGTTTGCTGCTTTGCACTTAGCCCTCCCTTGGGGGAAAAATGGAGTTATTATTTATTCTTCCTCTCTGTAAATATTTATTGTACCTACTGTGTGCCAAGCATGGTTCTAAGTGGAGGTTTATAGAGACTAAGAAGGATGGAAATCCCTTCTGTCAAAGAGCTGACCGGCGTGAAAACTTGACTAAGGTCTCAAACTTCCTCTGCCACAGCTCTGCAGAACCCCCACTCCCCCCGCCAAAGCCCAAGTCCTTTTATGCTTCCCCATAAAATTTAAGGGGACAAACTCTCAGTAAAATCATAATATTTTAATGCAATCTCTTTTTTTATGTTGTGATAAAATAGGTACAAAACTGGAACATTTAATACATTTGCAATGTGGGACACCTTATCATTTCCATGTAGTTTCAAGACATTTTCGGTACCCCACAAAGAAACCCCATTTCCCACCAGCAGTCACCCTCCTCTCACCATTGCGATTGGCACTTCTGTTAGTGGAAGTACTAATTCTGGACATTCGCATCGGTGGAACACACGCGTGTGTCTGGCTTCTCTCCCTGAGCGTCGCGTGCTCAAGGTCCGTCCTGTGGCAGTGAGATGGGCTAGGGCCCAGGCCAAGACGGGACAGGACGTGAGGCCAAAAAAACGGCAAGAATTTTGCTGTTCCGGCTGGTAAGGAAGAGGTTAAAACCCTGAGGACGCTGGGCCTGGACACCTGCTGCCATAAATTTCCTTGGCCATTTGGCTGTTGCCATCTCTGGGCTATCTTTCCACATTTTATCAAGCGGGCTGCTCCGGGAAGAAGGGGAGTTGCACACCCAGAAGAAAAGGGAGTCGCAGACCTTGAGGCCGACTGGTTTCCACTGGTCTGCGGGCACGTGGCCTCCAGGAGATGTTCCTCCTGGGGGTGGGCGCCAGTCTGCCAGCTCAGGGAGCATCCACCGCAGCAACATGCGGCGGGCTCTGGCGAGTCCTCTCTCCTTCTTTCCTCAGCCCACAGCCCTGTTTCCTTGAGCTCCTCTGTCCACACCCCCCCACACTGGCCCTGAAACCTGATCGACTC